TAAGAATAAAAATTCTTTTGGATGATATGCACACAAAGGGCCATGTGAAACATATACGGACACATTCAATATATGGATGTTATTTTAGCGGAAAGAATCTGTCTAAGAAAAGAATCTGGTCTCATCCACTAAGGGAGGGCATGTGGTGCTGCAGTTCTTGCCGGATACAGAAATTCCATTTTTCGCAAGGGAGGGAATCCCCTAGGTGCGTGGACCATTTCGCTTGAACTTTTACACCCACCCCGGAGCTTCCCTCTCCTGCAAAAAAGTGGATAACTTCACGCGATATGAACTGTCGCACCACCCCCCCTTACCGGATGAGACCCAAAATCCCGATAGGTGCAATAATAGGTGTAATAATATAAAAAGTAGAGGTAGCAAAGGAATGGAAATGCGTATTGATCGCGTTTTGAATGTGCTGAATGGCGCCCATTGGCGTCCTGACGATGGAGCGCGTTTGCTGACCGTGAATAGGCGACGAACGGGGGTTCTGAAATCTGGACGAATTTTTCTTCGTTAAATTTCAGGTAGTTTGGAAGGTGGATTTTGGATCAGCGAGGCTCAGCCTTTCTAACTAAAGCTCATTTGTTCTCAAACAATTTGAAATGAATAAGTTATTAAGCAAAAAATAAAATTGCACTACAATTTTTACACTCCTCTTTCTAGGGCTATAACTTCCTTCATATTCGAGCTTTTGCGCCGAAGTGATTTGATTTGGAAAAAAATTATTCTCTCCAACCATGGTAAAAATTCTTCGAAAGTTAATTTATAAAAATTTAGTACGTTGTTACTTTTTTCTGTGCAAAGTGCGACTTTTTGACCTTCAAACGATCATAACTTCCTTCAAAGTCATTCATTTGGGAAGCTGAACACGGTATGATAAACTACAGGATTCAAGCTTTCTAAAAAGCACCCAACGTTCCTGAAAAGTCAGCAGTTCAAAAATTAGTCCCGTTGTTACTTTTTTGAGGGGCATTCTTCAAGCCATTTTCTTGAAAACGCGGGTTTTTTTAGGTTTCACTGCCCGTAACTTCCAGGAAAACCAATTTCATGTTGAACATAGGATGTGTTAGAAAGCTTCGAGCATGCGCTTGCACTACATCCCCTGCCTTGGTGTGCGCCACGCCTCGGCCGCGCTTCTGATTCGCTGATTCATTTGAAAGCTCATTTAGAAGGAAGCGTGGGTTTATAGATGCTATAGTATAGTGCTGCTGTTTCTGCAAGTCTTCCTCTTCATGACTGCGTCTATGCGGGGAGAGGGCTTTGCATAATTGCATAAGACACATTGAACCCACTGCCGGCCACCGAGAGAGTACGACCCCCTCGTTAGTACTTGTCCCAACATAGGGTTGACCCTGGTCTGAAGTCTGAACTGAACCTTCCCTACCATAGCTCGTTCTTATATATCGTTTGATACCATATCTTTATCTCTTGCGTTTTGGTTCTATAGATATCAATCGCCTTGATAAACATCTCGCCCTTCTGATACCAACACAGGCTTGAACGTGTACGTTCTAAAATTACACACATAAGTTCCAACAAACAAGATTTAACAAAACCAAACAAAGCTTTATTACAGTAGCTTTTGCTACATGCACATTGAAGTGAGTGGACCACTTTCCAACTCGGACTAGGCCTTAAATGCAAAATTTCCGGGATTCTGGCAAAATTCTTAGGTTTTGCCCCATCAAACTATGTGAGGCAGTGCGACAGGTGCATGATATGTGGCGGAAGTTGGCGGAGCGTTTTTGATAAGGTTGAGGGCTGGGGGCTACGGTTGCGAAGGCATCAGGGCCGCCAAGACCTTGAGACCCCCACGGCCCTACGTGATCTATCAAACGACCACATGAACATTACGGGCGTCAGTGTTCAAGCCGTTGTTTGGAAAGTCGTAGGGGAGTATTTAGCGGATTTCAATTTGCGAAAATCGACATCAAAGCCTATCTTACGACCATTTTGGAGAACGTTGTCATCATTCTAGTGAGAAGAAAAAATTTTAAGATAGGAAGCAAACAAAAAAAGCACAGGAAAAAGAAAAAATAGGGAAACTAGGAAAAATCAGTTTTCATTGACTTTTTGTGGTCGTGTCGGTTGATGGCACAAAGCCAACAGTTGCTGTAGACATGTCCAAACATGTAATTTTCAGTTTTTCGTAAGCGAAACTACGATGAGTGAACTTCTAATTTAAATTGTCGTTTTTGGAAGGTATTGACTACTTTTTTCCTTACCTCCGATCTAACTTAGCATCCAGTCTTTCACATCGACAGGTGAGAGTCGCCTGGTTTTTATCCCGGAGTTTGCCCTCAAGGAGGGGAAGGGGTTCTAGAAAAGGAGAATGTGAACAACCTCTGTTTTTCCTGCCAGTTCTCCCATCTTCTGGGCTCAGTCCTAAGCCAGCGGTTTTTAATGCTCTGTTTTTAAGTGTTCCCACGGTTACGAGCGCCCTCCGACGAAACCTTTCGTGCGAGTTTCCATGTGTGACTCTCAATGAATCTTGGCATGAGTCGTAGAGAATATGTCAGTATAGTGAATAAGCTCCAACCAAGAGATTGGTAGCCACAATAAAAGCTGTTTCGATCTCTGGTTGGCGTTATTTACTCATATACTGAATCTTCTATACCTTTCCTGCGAGTTACGTACAGTTGTTTTCTTATCTTCAATTTTTGTGATATCACACAGGCAAGCAGTAGGGTTTTTAGAAACTTGCGAGAATTTAAAGGAGGATTTTACGATTAGAATGGAGGTCGAGGAAGAAGTAATTCACCTAGTTGAGTAACCCACGGACCTCCTGAGGGTGCGAACTGATGCGCAATTCGCATCGAAAAATTTGACCTCGGCGACCTATTATGCCTCAAAGTTGGCGGGTCTGGCGATCTCCGCCCACCGACCAGCTGATCACTCGCCGCAGATCTATACGTGGGATTGATTAGATAGCAGAGAGAGCGTGATGTTGAGGAGGGCACAGCGATAAGAGTCGCATCAATGCGCAAATCAGCGGGGAAGGAAGGGGTCCCATTTCTCGGGTTCTGGGCCGTTTCTCATGGTTCTTCCTTCTTTCGTGTACCAATCACCATCCCTGAGTTAATTTGAAATGGGTTGCCTTCCCAGCGTGAATTCGTCCTTTAAAGACCATGATGGAAAATCGTCTTCGTGTAATGCATTGCTATA